GGCTGCTCACAATCCATTCTCTGCCCAGCCTCTACTTGTGCTTGGGATTGCCCCAACCCACGTGCAGGACCTTGCAGTTGGCCTTGTTGAACTTCATGAAGTTCTCACAGGCCCATCTCTCCAGCCTGTCAAGGTCCCTCTGGATGGCATCCCTTCCCTCCAGCGTGTCCACAACACCACACAGCTTGGTGTCATCTGCAAACTTGCTGAGGGTGCACTCAATCCCACTGTCCATGTCTCCAACAAAGATGTTAAATAGCACTGGTCCCAGTACCGACCCCTGAGGAACACCACTCGTCACTGGCCTCCACGTGAACATTGAACCATTGACCACAACTCTTTAGTGTTAGCCTGCACTGATCTTGGTACCTTGAATAAAATAGAAGAACTTTTAAGTCCTTAAATTCAAAATTTGACTTGGAGCTCCTTGACAGGTAGAAGGGAGCTGTGTTTAGTTCGAACTCAGCCTCTGTCAGTGCCAATCCATGTGTATGAAATCTCGCCAGAAAGTGACCTAGAGAGCTTTACTCATTGGCTTCACAAACCATTAGAACCTGCAAAACTTCCTTGTAATACCATTTCATTGGCTGCCCTTACTCCACACCCCTCCTGGGTAATCATACTACCTGTAATTAGCACAAAGAATTGCTGAGCTAATTTCAGAGAAGAATTTAGGCTCTGACTATCTGCTCTAGAAAGATCTTGCTGAGCACATTGTAGTGAAATGATCCCATGGAGCTTTGTATTTGATTACAGGCAGGTGCAGAAACTCATTGCAAAAAAAAAAAAATCGCTGCTGGCAATGCAGTGTAACAGCGCTCACTCTGCGGCTGGGCAGTGGAAGCCTGTGAACTAGGCTTCCTGGCAAGAGCAGAGCACTCCAGGCTCACCCAGTCCTCTTGCCTCAGGACAAGCTATGGCTGCTGCTCCAGGGCTTGTGATATGTGCCTGGACAAGGCATTTGTCTTTATGTCTACCTGACTCCAGTAGGTGGGACGTTAAAAAAGACAATCCTGTCATTTCCGAGCTAGATCTAGCTAGGCTGTGCTCCAGTTCGGTGTTGGAAGGTGAAACAACAGTGCAGAGCCTACTGAAAGGAAAGACTTCAGCTCGTAAAAATAATTAAATTGGTGGTTTCACTGGAGGTCAAAAGTCACAGCTCAACACGAGCCTTCTGAAAAATTCTGATTAAAGATGAGTAAGGGTACAACGTACCTTATCACCTGTACAGTCCTGCAAATGACCAGCTGCCTGCCCTTTACCTGGCTTGCAAGGCAGCTGCTGAGCTGCTGCTGGAGAGCTACTCACCGCTTTCCACCAGGTCCCTGGGGAGTGGAGTCCACAGTTCTCACTGAATTCTAAGCAGCAGGAGTCTGGCACCCGGGTTGTATTGTACACTTCAAACCAGTCAGTGTAGTTGGAGACTCCACAACATCTGAACTGGAAAAAGAAGAATCAAGACAATACCATAAGCATGATCTGTCACTGGCTTCTGCTCATTCTGATTTCTCCCTCCTCAAGGTGGACATTCAGTGTGTTTCCAATTACACCAGCAGAGGCTTGAAATTTTAAAGAAATACAGTATTTCCTCAGTTTTACCCAAATAGACCCTTCCCACCCTCCCCAACTCCAACTCTGTTTCAATATGGTCTTGTATGTAGCTAATGTTGATACCAGCCTCAAAGGCACTTACTGGCAGTGGCAGGACACTGCAGGATCTGAAACAGGACAACCCCAGCCAAGAACTGAGGTTAAGAGTTGTGTGTGACTGAGCAGGATCATAACAATTGTTTGCAGCTTGTTGTCTTATTTAAGTTACAGATACAGCACCCAAGAGACAAAGATACTGGGATCTCTACAGCACGCTACTTCTGAAATGATGATTGAAAGTATTAAGGCAAATTTCTCTCTAAGCTCTTAATTACCGATCACCTTTGAAAGTCCTTGTCAGTCAGTAAAAGATGTATTTCCTCCTCTTCTCTCGTTGGTGCAGTTCCTTAATGTCATCATCTGATGCCGCTAACTAATGGTGCTTTAAATGTCTGCGTACGATGACACAGTGTACAACGACTACATTAGCGCTAAATCGGAAGGTTGGTTTGACTTCAGCAGCAGGATGAAAGGTATAGAAAATGTATGTAACAGTACAGGGAATGACTCTGTGACCATCTTCGCCCTCTGAGAACTAGTATATTCCTGTGGTACAAAATAAGCTAAGAATTATTGCCATATAGATGTATACACCATCTGTCACTCCTGTGTTAATTTGAAAGTATGAATTTGTCGGTATTTAGACACTTTACCACTAATGAGTAAAACAAGACGACATTGGGCTGCAGAACTGCTCTCTGCTATTGGCAGTACTTCACACTTTTTCTAGGCTATGCCAGCCACCTACTTAGCCCCCAAATGGCTTGCCAAGATCTTATTTTTTCAATGTGTTTTTATTATAAGCCTGTACAGTATTTTTTTGCATCCCTATAGAGACCATTCCTCTTGTTTCTGATAGACTCATAGTCCTGCAGATGGCTGCATCACCAGGATCAAGGACCTAATTCACATCCTGATGTTTACACTGGCCTGAGGGAGAGTTTTCCCTATACATATATATATATATGTGTTATAATTGTAGAACGTCTATGGGCACGGAAGTCTTGTTGCACGCACAAGAGCTACCATTCAAGACCAACAGAGGGCAGAGGTGTCACGCGTTGCCTTGCACATCGTGTGTTGCTTCAAGCACTTGCAGAAAGTATTCCGCGATAGAGACGTTTCAGTGCTCACAGCACGGTTTTTCTTCTGCCAAGCAAAAGTCAGAAATCTTTCGCAGACTAACATCTATCCCCTCCAAGGTTCTGTTCAGAATTCTGATTTGGTCGGTGGCAGGAATCGATCCTTATAGCTTGCAACTGTTTGATTTGTGAGTTTACAGGCTTCATTTTCTACAAACTGACTTGAAAGTAAAAGAAGTTTGTGACTTTCTTTTTTTCCTCTATGTTCCTGCACACAAGACAGGAGCTCCCTGCATAACAGGTCCCAAAAGCAGATAGGAGCGGCACAGAACACATGGCATGTATTTGAGGAAAGCGGGTTTCTCTGGAAATCTAACAAGAAGGTCTTGCAGGCTGTCAACATTAGAGTCAGGAGGCAGCTCTTTGATAGACAGTGAGAAGTGACAGCTTGTAAATAGCAAGCCTTGAAAATGTAGCTCATCTGTGATGTAGAGAGCGCAACAGTAAGGGCTGAGGCATTTGAGTGATGTTCTGGCCAAACACGAGTGACACGAGTTCGCATAAATCGGGACTAGACCCCTTCTCCCCATAACACAGCACGGCTGAGGGTGCCAAGGTCTGTCAGACTAAGGAGATGAAGTTGAAGTGTAGGTTTTGCAGTTAAGGGCGCACTAACAGTGTTAAGGACAGCTGTTCCTACGTAGCCTGCGAAGCAGGAGGTCACTAGGCCATGAGCTAGGTTGGGACGCCAAAGAGTAAAACTTCCTGGGAAGCCAGAAGGTGGAAATAGAAGGGGATGCAGTTGCTAAAGATGAACTGCAGTTGGACACGCATCGCCTGCCCATGCAGATCCTCTGTGTATTGTACAAGAGCAGAGGATTAAATATCGACGCTTGCCTGCCACTGCTGGCAGCCAAGGCAGTCCCAGCAATGGGAGAAAGGGCTGAGAAAAGATCAAGGCTAAAAAAAAAATGAAGTAGCATGCGGAGCAATAGTCTTGGGACTGGAAGAAATAATGTCTGGAACTATAACTGGAAGAGATGTCATGTCTTTGGAAGACGAAGGATGAGTGATGGCATTAAGCAGCGGATGATGCACCAGCCTCAAGGAGAGGAGGTAAGGAACACAGAAGAGCACTAACGCCACAGAAACCAGAGAGCACACAAGCAAGGGGGTGAGCAGTGACCAGTGAAGACCGTCAGGTGAAGAGCATTTCTAGGGAGCAGAGGCACTGACCCATGGCAGTAGGTCAAAGAGGCAAGAATGAGGAAACAAGCAGCAGTGGGATTGGGCACCCGTATAAATTCAGTAAAGGGGTCCAGCTAGAAGCCAAAAAGACAGATGAGCTGAAAGCTCAGTAAATTCAGAGACCTCATTATTGAGGCCCAAGTAGAGAGAGCGTGGGCGTGATTTTGGATCACGTGACAAGCGACCGATTGATCCTGTGTGCATGAAGCTGAATGATAAGTAGTGTTGAAGGAGATGAAGGACTATTAGAAGAATGGGGAATATTGAGGACAAAGAGCAAAATAAGAGGATTTTTTAGAGTCCTCTTAGATTTGAGAGCAATGTTCTCTTTTTAAAATTTACAGTTTCTGAGCAAGGATAGTTGGAGACAGACCCGCACTTAGAGGACAGAGGCAGCTCAGGCCACATGAAGGATAATTTCTGTCACCGGCAGTTTGTTGTGGCCAGTTATACCAGACTTCACGTTCTTCCACAAAGGCTGATATTCTTCCAGTGCCAGAAAGTTAAACTGCCTGACTGTCATGAAGCAATTGCAGACTTGACTCTTGCTACAACCACATTCCTTTTGTAGTCACGTTTACAGTCCTGTGCTGCTCCCTTCACTAGTTAAGTGATGAAATTAGATGAGGTTGCCTAATGGATTAGTTCTGTTCCCAGTTTCAACAGGGAACAATACGCTTATTTTTTTTAGCAACAATTACAAACTAATAGTGCTTATTTTGGGGTATCAAGACTAACACACTTTAAAAGGGGGTAATCTGTAGAAAATGTCAGCTACTGTCTTGATTAGCAGTAACTTTAAGACAGCTTGACTTGGATACCTCAGGTCACTTGTTGCCAGGGCTTGCAGCTGTGAGGGAGCATGCATGATCAGATGCAATTGTGCCTGCCCAGAGGAACAAATAAGGGTACTCATGGCATAAGGTGACAAGTGGGTAGTAGTTCTGGGGACACTTGTACCGTGTTTGGCAGAGTTGCTCAAACAAGCAAAAGCTTGACAAATGCCTCTAAGATCCTGCTGCTGAACATTTCCATGAATATTGACGATACGCTGCTGTTTGTTTCATGTTTCACGTGGGAGGCTCTGCCTCCCGAGATGTCAAAACACATTTTTTTTCCCCTCCTTTGTTCAAGAGACATAAATCACTCCCCTGCTGATTACCCGTGGGGTTCTGAAGCGGCTCATTGGTTCCCAAGAGCTCAGGACACGCAGGGGCTGCTCAACACGATGATGCAGTCAAAGGTCGTGCTGCTGAGGAGCGTTTTTCCCAACCAGGCAGCACTAAGCAGCACTGAGGTCTCTGCTGTATTTATGGAACACAACGCTCCTTGCAAATAGCTTTATTTTTGTGTTAACAAGTAATTGCTGCTCTAGCATGGGGTATCTGGGGCTGGTAATTAATGTTAAGCACAAAGTTTCTATTTTAGTGCAATAGAAATGTAAGGAGTTGGATTCTTGTATGTGTTTTATAGGCAATCCCAGTATTGAAGGCTAAGTATGCCTTATTTTCTTTACTAAGTTTCTGCAAAATCAGCCAGGCTGATCATAGGGTTCATGAAAATAAACAGACTCCTTGTTGCAGACAGGTTTTAGCAATTCCTGGTTTTCCACTTTTGTGAATGTGACAGAGAACTATGGACAGGGTAGGGTGCCTTTTATCTGCTTTTTTCTCCCATCACTGTAAAAAGTGGTGAATAAGATTTTTTTATTCTAAAATCGTGTTTAATGGGTGGTTTGGATTACTTCAGCAGTAATCCTAAAGTATGGTTTGATCTAACAGAATCAATGACTGAGGCAGAGGGAGATGGGTCAAATTTTGTTCTCAGTTACAGTGGTCTAAATAGACATGAAAGGCATTACACAGCAGTAAAAGTGAGCTGAATTTGCTCACTTTAGTGAAGCTAATGTGTTTTCTGCATGCCTCTCAAATTACTGCCTGGGTAGTTAAAAGGAGAAGTGTTCAAATATTGATTACAAAGACGTTGGGGATGAAGCAATGTTTTAAAAATTAATGCCCATTTCTCATTTCCCAGGGATCTCCACCTGTAACTTCAACCAGTCCTGGTTGGTAAGGAGTGTCATGCAGTTCATGGTAACTTGAATTCTAAACTATTAGAATTTTAGTCATGTTTAAAATCACTTTGTACACTTTCGTAGTCTTCAGTCACGACACAAACAAGTTACCTGCTTGTGTTTCTGATCCTTTTAAGGTTTGAAACACCATCGAGAAAGGCTGTGAGTTTGGTTAGCTGAAGGTATTAAAAAGAAATCAATAAAATGTTCTAATTTGAAACAGCTCCCTGACCTAGAGACTTAATGCGACTGCAGAACGAGCCTAGTGCTGTTCCTCTAACATGCGTTGCATGCATGCAGCTCAACCCAGCCCCTTTATCAGTAATCTGAACAGGGCAGTCACGGACCAAAACTACAACTTCTTCCTTAAAGACAGGCCTCGCAGACCCTGTTTTTTCCCTTGTTCCCAGTTACTTCTAGGAATTGTAAGCTTCAGTTAAAAAGACAAAAACCATTTCTTAAGGCACAAAGGCTTCAGAGAAGAAAGCCCTCTGAAAAAGGTGCTCAGGCCTTTCACACTTGAAGAAGAAATACAGTAATCACCACTCACAAGTCACTGTGTGCGCACTGGGTATCCATACTCCCAGTCAAAACTCCCCTCTGATTTGTGATCGGCCAGTCCCACAGAAATGAAATGCCATCTAAATGTGGTTCTGCTTCGGGAAAGACCTCTTCTCCCCCTTCTTTAAGCAAAAGTTGCCATACACAGTCATACTTGGTGAACTCATCTAAGCTAATAGTAGGAGAAATGAAGAACTATGCCAGAGCTTAGATCCCTCATGTCTGAGCCTACTACTCTAACCACGGTGCCATCCTTCTGCTCAAGCTCTGAAAAATACTTCTGCAAAGAAAGGAGTGTGAATGCAGAAAGGACGAGGAAGAAGGACTCATTATGATTTCTGCTACTGTCATGTTTTTCACACGTCATGCTGGCTTCTGAGGCTGCGGTTTTCCATCCATACACAGACACGGTCCATAGCTCAACCAGTGACTGATGTCTGCTGGTCCCATTAGAAAAGGCAGTGCTGAGACATTGTCCTGTATAGCTCTACTGTGGGGTTTTTTTGAGAGCTGTCTCTTAGAAGCCAGAACGCAAACAGCAAGCCTGGGTTGGGACTTTCAGAAAGTCCCCTGTATTGCTCTAACCCTCCTATCAGTGATTACACTCTACTGATTAGGGATGAAAGGGATAACAATTATTACTCAACAGAAAAAAATGATACTTGGCATTTACATAGCGCTATTCAACTGCAAAGTGTTTTACATAATTAACCATGCTGGGATTGCCTTCTCTGCACCACTGCAATACTCTATTCCTAAATAGTTTTGAAAGATACATGTGAAAACCAATTATACAGAGCCGTAAAAAATGGATCTGTGGGAGCTCTTTGCTCTTCTCCTTAGTGCCCAGCATGGGGAGCACAGAGACTTTAACACTATGGTACTGCCAAGAGAGCACTTGGTAATTTCATAGTTGCCATGTTAGAAAAGAGTGATGTAACATGACTGCACATGGCTTGTGAGATGGCACTTCCCTATAATCTTTTGGGCTCCTAAGACCTAGCTAACATTAGTTTCATCTGAAACTTGAAAGATGCTCTTTAAACTGTAATAGGTTTCAAGGCCAAAGGAATAATTAAGACAATTGAGCATGGTCTGCAGCACGACACAGATCACACACTATTGAGTCTTGCCTCAAACCAAAGCTTGTCGCTGAGCGAGAACATTTCTTTTAGATAAAACTCCCTGTTTTGGCTTTAAAGAAAAAAAAAATTCCACCATCCTACTGTACAATGGCATCCTACTATCAGATATCTGTATCTTGAGTTTTTAGCTCTTGGATCGATTACAGAGCCCTTTTCTTTCAAAACCCTTTTCTCCTCCTGCTCTCTTTTTAAGGACTGCACTCACATTGCTACTTGATGTTTCCTGGTTATATAAAGCTTTTAAAATTTCTCACCATAATGTAAATTTCCAAAATTCCCATTATTCTTTTACATCTTTTCTGAATCCAGTCCAACTTGCAAAGATCTTGAACAAACGTGATTAGGTGAACTAGATGTACTATATACTGTTACACTCAGTTTACAGAAAGGGGAGCAGAAGCATAGGGTTTCTATCCTATAAGTTCTCCAAATAATCCTTTTTCCCCCACCTTTGCTGTATGCTTTTAACAGTTCTTGGCGTGTCACTGAAACCAGATTAGTATCTACTGCTAATATCTTAATATTAGTAATTTTTACTAAGCAAGTTAGTGTAAAAGAGTAAAACTTCCATACTGTTTGATATAAGCAATGATATTAAAAATTTTATCTACATTTCACATGGCTTACTCTTGGGCTAACAGCACAAAATGCTGTTGTATTGCTGCTCATGTCATCAACTGATGCCTTCTCATATTCGATCATAGTATTGGAAAAGAAAAATATTAACAATATTGCAAGATCCTGAGGCCTTTTAAAGGTAACCAAAAGATCCTTCCACATGCAGTTGTTAGGATGCAGGACTGGAAAGCTTCTTAGCTTGTTTGCTGGACCAGTACTGTTGCTGTCGACCTACTGCACTCAATACACACAGCTCCTGCAGCCCTGAAGATGCACATGGAGTTTGGCCAACCAATTCTTTTGTTCTGTTAGTGACCCCAAATTTTTAATTTCTCAGAGCTTTTCCTAGCAGCCTGTCACTTCTGTTAGCTTGTACTGTACAGCAGAGCGTACGCGAACCTTGACACTACCAGACTGAAAGATGTTTACGATTTCAGCACAAATGGCAATAGAGGAAGTAAAGAGTAAATGAGCAGGTTTATCGAATCAGAATGTGGTAGGTAGCCTGTCTATCATCTTGAATAGTTCATATAACCTTGGAAGCATTGGGAAAGGTTATCATCTTTGGCTGATTTAAGACATTTTTGGCCGAGGCAAGACTTAAAGCCTTGCCTGTCTGTACCACGCTAGCACTTCTGGAGGAGAATTTGAGAAAGCTATGCCAAGATTTTTGGAGTGAAGCCAAGGTAGTAGAAGTGCTTCTTCCTAAAGCAGAAGAAAAGTTAGAGCACTTTTCCTCATTCAAGAAGCAGAGAAAACCGTATCAGAAAGATCACCTCCAAGAGAACAGATTGAACTGAATATGAAAAGAGAAGGACAGAGCTAATAAACCTGAACTGTGGGTGATGGCGTTACCTCAACAAGTCAGACAAGGACAAAAGGAGGAAACCAGCTACAGCGTTCACCAGTCCTTATGAGACAAACACCGGCAGAGGATGCAACAGCAGTGGCAACATAGCAAAAAGCATTTCCAGCCCATCTGTGATGGAGGATGATTGAATTCTGCTGGGAAAAACATAGTGACTGTAGAAGGAAGTTGTAAACACCATGGCCAGTTTCCATTTTGACTGCAGTAGTGGAAACCAACTAGCAACGAAAGGAGACAGGACAGAAATGCAAAGGTGTTGAAGTGGTTCTTTGTTACTACGCTACTGCTCTTCATTCCAACATAATGTGTTCCTATGACTTCAAAGAGAAGGTACTGCCTGTTTCCTATCTGACCATCTCTTTCACTCTCCATATAGCACAAAACTATATGATATTTAAGTGTCAACATAATACAATTTTTTAAAAGAAATAAGCTCTCCTGCTCAAAGGAGAAATAAATGAAATTACCATTTGTTACAAAACCCAGAGAGTTTAATTGCTAATGTGCTGACTGGGTGGGAGGAAGATATTGGCTTGTGATCTGGAGGTTTAATTAGGTTCACACCCAGAACATGCTGTCACAGAACCCAGAGGGTAAAGAGGAAGGGAAAAAAAAAAAAGAGCTCAGACTTACATCTGTTTGAATGATGCTCCATGCATTGGTTAGGCCAATATTTCCATCTGTCCCATACAAATGAAGCCCTTTCTTCAGATCCCGCTGAGCATACTTGTCAATCTAAAACCAACAACAGAAGACAGAAAACTCAAAATTTGCTGAGTACCACATTTCAGAGTCAAAGTGCACGGAGCAGGGAGATGTTGAACCACAGTCCTATGCTGAAATTAATAAGAAGTTAACTGACACTTCCTAAAGCTTTTCTCCAGTAGATCTGGTATCTGTTACAGGTATCTACGTTTTGTAAAGAACATGAGGAATTTCTGTTCGAGTTAATGCTCACGTTTTCCATCATAGACCTCCAGAACATCTTTTCCCTTCTCACTTAACCACCAAAGTACTATAGAGAGACTGGATTCAGTTTAACTGCTCACTTTTTTGCAAATGAGGCCTTTATATGAAAACATTCATCTACCCACAGCACTTTCTTTTAGCTTGACAACTTTGTGATCCAGTACCCCTCAGCATCTTCCATATGCTTCCTGAGAGATCAACAGCGGCATTAACATTGTACTGATGCTCTGAATTGTGTTCATTGTATCAGTCAGGCTACCCCACTTCTTACAGCAGGATGGGACATAGTTATATTAAACAGTAGGGAATGAGCTATCCAAAATTCAGGACAGACAGGATTTAACAATTTAGTTACTAAATGGAGCTGCTCTTAAATAAATGCATTTTTGTTGATTTAATGAAAGTACAAAGTTCTGCTTTAGAGGCTTTTGCAATCAAAAATGGTGCTTTCTTGTTGACAATCTCTTCTAGTAAAGCAGGCTATTGTTGGATCCACTGGTTGCCACCAGGTAGCATCCAAAATGATTCCAAGTGCCTCTCTCTCAGTCTAACCATCCATACACATTTCTACAGAATCAAGCAAACACAAAAAAGGAAGTCAATAATAAATAGATATTCACATTTTTTTCTGTTGTAAATGAAAAGCACAGAATAGTGCTGCTCAAGTACACCCGTGCCCCTCTCCCTTGGGTGCTTATCAATGTTAGTGTTCTGTTGACATCAGAGGTATAGCAAGAAGAGTGAACAGACCTGTCACATTTTCTTCTCCATCAATCTGCTATAAATCTGACTGTAAAATACAGTGCCACTCTGAGATCCTTCTGCTGCAATAGTCAAAAATAAACCTGAAATTAAATTCACAACTTGCTTCATGGGGACAGTCTCTTCCACATTGGAGAACAGACAGATACTGCGTATTCTCTCATGATTGCCCCTCTGACGCTAGTCATTCCAGCTGAGGAAGGTATAAAATGAAATAAACAATGCTAATTTTGAGTTAACAGCGGGAAGAAAGTTATTCAGGTATTCTGCTTCTACCATACACTTGGATTTTCCTTCTGCTTTGGTCAGTCAGAAGTGTTTTCATTTGCTCCTGTAAAAAAGAGTGGATACAAAGCATCTTCCACAGTATAAAAGAGGAATTTTCAACCAACTACATTATAATTTTTATGGGGCAAATGCAAAGTTACTCAATGGTATGACTCCACGAAAAACTATGATCTCAAAAGTTCATCACGTCCAAGAAATCTCTGCTATATACGCACAGGGTTGTGCTTGCTCTCTCCAGTTCTTTTGTTTCCTTCCTGAAAGTTTACCACCATCAAGCTGAGCCACTAGTAAAATAGCTTTGGGACAGTACAAGAAAGATGTACAACTTAATCTCAGCACCTTCACTGTCATGCAAGCACTTTCTCGTGAGTGACTATCTTGAACAGAAAAGGCTGTGCTCCCACTGTAATTATCATGTAAGCTGCTTTTGACTTTACACAGAGATTATACGTAGTCACTGGTACATTAATTAGAAAAACAAAGCTGAAAGCTATCATTGGTTTGGAATTAGTTGAGAAAATTACAGGCAATAAATGATAAACTTATATATGTGAGGGATTCCTAGCATTCATTTAAGAATTAGATTTCAGCTCTTCACCAACCCTCAGCTCTGGGTGGTCTCAACTGGACCTGCTGTGGTCTCAAGCAGAACCATCAATTAGGATGGAGGGGCACAGATGTGCTGCTAGTCTGAGAGAGGCTTTGAAATTTAGTTAGTGTCCTACAGAGGCAGAGAGGTAAATTAATTGTTGAAAAACAAACTCTTATTCAGAAAGGGACAGGGGTGAAGAGGAATAGCATAGCTGAGGGCAGGTGGGGACAGAAATCTAGCTAGTAGGTCTGTTGCCTTGAAGACAAAGATCTATTTGGAACATTAATTTATCACACCTGAGAAAATCTGCCCTGTAAAATGAGAGCGCTATGCAGCAGCGTACAGTTCATATCACCACTAATCTGGAACAAGCGAGATAAGGTCAAATGAAACAGTGATGCTTATCTGAAGGGCGAATGCCATGCTACCAAAAGGATGTGAAATACAAAGTTTGCATTTCCTCACTCAAATTTTGCTTTGCAAACCAATGCAGTGGCTCAGCATGATAATCTCTTTTACCAGGGCTCACAGGCTGCCCTTCTTAATTCAATCTTCATATCCTTTTCGAGATCAGTAATAAGAACTTAATAATAATTTAATAACTTACGATCAACATTATAAAGTACTTCAATATCAGGAACAACGTTCTGTTA